GTGTCCCTGACTGAGGAGGGCCTTAAATCTGAACTGCCCGGCGACGTGCTGGGCAGCCGATGCGCAGCCCCTGTGCAGTGAGCTCCCCTCGCTAAGCGGCTGTACCCACTCCTGCTGAGTGATATCCTCTGTGTGCCGCAGACCAAGCTGGAGATGATCGTGGGATCTCCTGCGTCCCGCATGGAGCTGCAGCTCTTCAGTACGACCGACAAGTTCCTGCAGAACCTCGACGACAACGAGGCGCTGCTGGGCTCCTACCCTGTGGACGACGACTGCAGGATACACGTAGGGCATCATCGCTGGTCTCTCCGCTGTCGTGTCAGCTGGGCCTCGCGGCTCTCGCAGGGCGAAGTCCGGGGCCCTCCTCTTGTGTGGCAGTGCAATGCAGGACTGTGTTGTGGTGCACAATACTAAACTGTATTGTGAGGATTCGATAGTCATGCACTCTAAAACCAGCATGTACTTTTTATGACAGTAGTTATTCAGGGATGTCGGTGAAATGTCTTGGCTTAAGTTGCATATCAAAGCACCTGAAGTGTATTTACCAGTACCACTTTGTATACAATACTAGTACGATTTTTAAGAACTGCTGTTTGCATTCATGATTTCTTTGTGTTAAGAAGGCTCTGGCCAGGATCTGACTCTCCAAACCTTGTGTGTGTGAAGGTGATTGACCGGAGTGGGGCGCAGAGCGGGGAGTTCACCGACCTGTCCAGAGTGGAGAAGTTCGAGATCTCCGATGAAGCCTATGAGAAGAGATCAGGTGTGTCACTCTGGCCGCCGGCCTGCGCTGCTCTGGGATGGGACAGAGTCAGATGAAGACACTCTTAATTCTAAAGAGAAAACAATACGTGTTTCATTTGGCCAACATGTTATATAACTTACAAAACAATGCATTCACTTGTCACAGCCTGGCTTTCACAAATACTGTTCTGATCTCCTTACTGGCTTGGTGAAAAAGGACAGCTGTTTGTGTTTTCCTGCAGAGGTTACATTCTTTGATGACATCTTTGTGCAGCTCCTCTGGGCAGATGGGCCCGGCCACTGATTTAATTTTCTGTCCGATGGCCGGGACGGTGAGGTTTTATTATGATGGCTGCTTGCACTCAGCCTGTAGACGGCAGTGCACTCAGTCATGAAGAGGGCTGTGATCAAAGCTGACGTCCCACCAGGAGCCTTTTGGCCAGAATCCCCAGGCAGGAGCTGGTGTGTTGGGTTAATCCTGTGGCGTTGTGCCCCTGCCACCAGACTCTGTGCGCTCCTTCATGAAGAAGAAGAAGGTGGGCCGCTTCAATGAGGAGGATGTGGAGCGCCAGAAGGCAGAGCAGGAGCAGAAGGAGAACGAGGAGAAAGCCCTGACCGAGGCCATCGCGGTGGGCGCCCGCTGCGAGGTGCGCGTCCTGGGGCAGCCCCCCAAGAGAGGGACCGTCATGTATGTGGGTGAGTGCGTCACCGGCGGGCCTGAGCCCCCTGCGAGGGCCGGTGAGCTTGCGTCTGTCTGCCTCAGGGCTGGTCCGTTCAGTGAGTCTCTTGCTGTTCCAATGGCAGGTCTGACGGACTTCAAACCAGGTCACTGGGTAGGAGTGAAATACGATGAGCCCCTGGGGAAGCATGATGGCAGGTAAGGAGAGTTTTATAAATTAGATGGAGGTGGAGTACCTGTATTTAAAAGACTTGAACATTGCAAATTAATTGTAGTAGTGTGTAGTTACCATGTGGTTGGGATAGTTACCTTTATTCTCAAATAGAATAGAATGGTATTCCTTCTGATTTTTTCATTTGATTCGTGAGGATGCACAACACAGCAAATGTTTAGAAAAGACTCTTGCTGTGACCGGGGATCTGTATTCCTCTCCTCTTCTCTTAAATTGACCGCATGTTTGACATTTTGCCTGTGGAGTTAGGAAGTCAATCATTTTAATTTAAAATGATTTCACATGCACAAGAGTTACAACCGCAGAAGTGTTCTAGATTTTTTTTTTTGCCCGCTTTATTTATCTTAGGTTTATTTTTCTAGATTTATTTTTTTAGTTTGAAAGAATTGTTTTTCATGTAGTAACAGCTCACAGAGCTGTGTATCTAGCAGTTTGGGTTAAAAAGCAGGAGAAGATGGAGCTCCTGCAGGCTGCAGCCTCTGCCCATTATCCTGCTGCGTCAGATGAGTGACAGTTCAGTGGGTGAAGCCCGTGCATTCGGACAATGTTGTTGTTGTTGTTGTTTCAGCGTCAACGGGAAGCAGTATTTTGAGTGCCAGGTCAAATACGGAGCCTTCGTCAAGCCACAGGTGGTGGTGGTGGGGGATTTCCCCGAGGAAGACTATGGCTTGGATGATGAGATGTAGTGGTGAGGAGGGAGCAGGGAGGCCCGGAGACCGCTGCTGTGCTCTGCGTGTGCTGCCGCTCCTGGTGCACACTGGAGTGTCTTCTCACGTTGTTAAAATACTGTATATATTTTGAAATGTGCAACAACTTTTTTTCAATTAATGGAGGAGTTGATTTCAAGACTTGTCTGTCAGATTAACTGCGAGGTCATCAATGCCTTATTTAAATTTATACTTTGAAAGTGTTTTTTTAGTATATTGTCTACTTATTAATGCTAAAGCTTGTAGAATTCAACTATCACTCTGTGTGCAAGTGGATGCAGTTTTCCCTGTGATCTCTCTGCTAAATTTATGTATTTAAATAGGTGTAATGTTGTTAACATAGGTGGGGACTGTGATCATATCTAGGATGTGTCCCTTTTTATGTATAGAAAGGCTCATTTAAGTGGCGTCATTGTACAGTATGTTGTTCTGAGTGATTGAGCTTGGATATTAGTCTGCATGTCTGAGTTAAACTGTACAAGTCTCATTCACACCATCACACACTTTGAACTCAAGGTCTGTTCTATCAAGTGGCAAAATGCTCCTAACAAGGTTCACCTCTGAAAGAAGTAGGCCTTCTTTATTTTTGTAATTCAAGGTAGAGATTGTTTTGTTTACCAGTAGTGGTCTGGTATGTTCTCCATTTTTATTGAAGTGAACCTTTGCAGCAGATGAAGTGTGATAAGGCCTCCTGCGTTGTGAGATCCAGGCACTTCTGACAAAGCTGTGCTGATAGTTATTCTAAAGATTGCATGTTCTAGGGGACTTTTCCTTCATGTTTAGCACAGGCTGATGTGAGAACTTAAAACAAAGGGTCTTTTAGAAGTTGCCAGTTTGCGAGGTGGAAACAGGAGTCCCATCAGTGGGAGACCTTTCCTCTCGTGTTAAAGAGGAGGCCAGTGGAAGCTGTCCTAGGCTGCCGTGTGGTGCCACTCACAGCTCTGTCTGAGCTTGCCATTTCCAGTTCAGAGCAACTGAGAAACTGACAAGGTCTAATTTTCAAAGAGCTTGAATTGACTGAAATAATTCCTTTTACTATGCACATGAGTTACTGAGGAGTTTTGTGCCAAAGTGTCATGATATATTTGTACAGTATAAATAGAAAACTATTACTAATCCGGATCCCAGACAAGGCACATGTAGTGAGTTGCACTTTTGTTTTGAACACTACCGGTCCAATGTTTTCTCCACAAAGGCAGTGTTGCGCAGACTGCTGCAGTACTGAGCCGAGAAGGCAGAACTGCCCTCTTTATTATGGCACGCATTTCATTTCTATGGAAAAGGTCCCAAATCAACCAACTATTGAAGGATAACTCTTGAGTTGAAAGCACTGTTTTCTTTGCTGGCTATGTCAAGTATTGGTCATCAAAATGAAGCATCAGATTTCATGCGCAATATACTGTATGCATCCTGAACCTGAATTTACACCGTGTTGACTCTGTGATGGGGGGGGAAAAAACTACTAAGTTGTTAAAAAAATGTCTTAATTTGTCATTAAAAAGCACTAATGAAGTTCCAAATACCAGGTCTGTGGTGGCTTTATTCCTGTGCTGTAAATGATATGGTTTGGGAAACTAGTTTGATGGTGGCTGTTCTAACTTGTAATAACCTCTGGTGTCGATCGTGCCTCCATGGCTGTCCTGTCTGGGCGCTGTGTTGAACTGGAGGGGTTGTGCAGCAGCTGTTGGGCTGTCCTGGAGGGGTGTTGGACACTTGTACAGCACCTCCGCACAGGGGTCTGGTCACAGGATCTGAGTGTGCCGTACCAGATTCTACCAGGAAAACTTCAAGTGCCCGTCATGAGCAAAAGCACAAGGACTGTGAAATGAGCTCTGCCAAGGATGCGCTACGCAGTAGAGGCCATGATGGACGAGGTTTCGTTTTCCAGAAGCACTGAATGGTGAAAAGGCTTTTGTACAGAACAGTGAACGGCTGACAGAATCTCCCTGCAGTGCAAGATGCTTGCAGCTCCCAAGTAAACTGAAGGTAACCTCTCAAAACCTGTTTAAAAAAAATCCGTTTTCCCTTTCCCTGCCTGGCCTGCGCTCCTGGGGGTTCGGAGAGAGGCGAGGTGCGTGCGCAGCGGGTGTTCACTCTGTCCAGCAGAGGGCGCTGCAGGGGGGTCGAGCTGCTCTGCAGATGGAGGCCTGTCTTGCCAGCGGGCCGGACTCGGTGTCATAACAACAAGGGTATGTCTGCTGCGCTGGCGGGCGAAGCGAGGTGCACAGGTTGCACACGACGAGCTGGAAAGTCAGTGTATCGCTCAGCAGCTGTACGCAGGTGACGTTGGCTGACAGATATTACCTATTGTCACGGTAATTGTTTTTAAAATACCTACAGGAAAGTATAAATGTGCTAACCAGTGCTAATATCTCATCGTTATTTGGTCATTTTTGTTTCATGGTGTCTGTATCTGTCGTTGGGAGTTCTGTGGAGATCAGATAATGGCTTGTCAGTGTTTTTTTTTTTTAAGACAAAGTGAAGGTGGCAGGAGGAATATGATTCTGTTAAATGTATTCATTAGAAACATTGCCGTTTGCAAGAACGATTAATATTTTGGGAATGACTGTGTAGAGACTCGACCGACACCTCCTGTCATCCCTGTCGCATTTTAGGGGTATTTTATCCATCGGTAAGATTCAGATGCCTTCGGGTCACACTAAAACACTCCTAGCACCGCTGATTTGTGACCTTATAAGAATGTTCCCTGTTATTCTTAATAAAGCGTCATCAAACGTTTTGTGGATCATTTGCGTTGTGCTGTCTAGGAAGTGCCCGAGGGACTCGCGAGTGTTTTCAGTGGAAGGGAAGGGACACGGGAAAACTGTTGATCAGCCACACTGCTCTGGGAGAAGACGTCAATTAAACTAACTCACCTCGGGAGAAAATAAAGCTTTCGTTGGTTACAAACAACACTTTGTCTTGTACGGAGTAGTTTTCACTTGGTTGCAGAGCTGAAACTCGGATTTCTAACGCGCAGATCGAAGCAGACGACGCGTCCCGGTCAGGCATGCCTGAGTGACCCCTCTGAGCTGCTGTCCTGTGGTTTCAGGTCCACCCAGGCGGCCCCTCCTCGCCATGCTGCGCCACAGCAGGCTGCAGAAGCAGGTCCTGGCTCTGTACCGGCAGCTCCTGAGGGCCGCGGCGCACAAGCCGGGCTTCCTGCCCCGGATCCGGGACGAGTTCCGCCAGAACGCCAGCATTCCCAGGACTGACGTCATGCACATCGAGTACCTGTGTCGGCGCGGGTGGCGGCAGCTGGAGCAGCTCGGCCACGCCACCACCCGGCAGCTGGGCGCCTTCTCCAGGCCCGGGAGGCGCGGCTGACCCCCGGCTGGCACTGCGCTCGGGGGCGGAGAACGGGACCTGCCGGGTCCATTTCAGGTGCCAGCGGCTCCTATCCGTCCGCCTCTTCATTCCCCTGACTGCTCTGGCAGGAGAGGCAGCTGGTCAGTCACGCCCCGGCCGTCGGTCCGAGGCGGCTAGTCAGTCTACCGCAGGGTCACTGGACTGCAGAGCCTTCAGCCCGCAGCACAGCTCGGGAGCGAGACTCATCGGGCTCAAACCCGTCGAGAGGCCACTGTCACATCTCCATAGTGGAAGGATTTGTAATGCCGATATTGTAGTTTGCGTTATTTCTCACAGACTGTTTTAATAAAATAAGTTTAATTGAACAAGAGAATGTAACATTGGTCTCACTGTTTCTTAAATCTTCCATAGTGGTTCCTGACTTGAACGTCTGTTATTTCGCTGTTCATTGGGTATTGCTGTAGACTTTCTGTAATCAGATACACATCAGGCTACAACTCAGTTGGTTGGCATATTGCCTTCTGCTACAGGTCAGTTCCTCTCACATGCTTGTAATGGAAATAAATTGATTTATTTTCATTGATTCCATCCCATCGTTCAGAATTTCTCAGTTTCACATGTAAACACTGGCTGGGTCTGTGAAAAGCAGGAGCTTTTGAAGAAACATTTGTTTATTTTCTTGCACTGCATTCGTTTCTTTTGTGCTATAATAACAATAAATGTGCTATGTAATAACAATACATTACACTTCTATAGCGCTTCTCTGGACTCTGCACGCAGAGCGCCTCACAGGGAATCACAGAGCCACTGCTGTCGGAGTTCCTGGCTGCTGATCCGGCTGTCTGTCACGGAGGGTAACAACACGCACAGCAGGCAACCAGTCCGGACAGCCTTCCTGGACCTGAGCCCTGTGCAGACCAGTTGGCCACGGTTTTTAGGGAGTTTTTGTCTACTTGGTTCTTAGTCTTTCACTTTTACAATCTTCTGTTCCCTTGTGTTCTACTAAATCATACCTTCATACCAGTGCTGAAGAAAAATACTGCAACCAGTTTTAAAGATTACAGGCCGGTTGCGCTCATGTCCACCATAATGAAATGCTTTGAAAGGCTGGTCATGAGGCACATTAACACAATGGTGCCTGAGGTCTTAGGGGCCCTGCAGTTTGCATACCTGTGTAACAGGTCCACTGACAATACTAGTTCCCTGGTTTGCACACTGCCCTGGCTCATTTGGATGATGACGACACGTCATAATGCTATTCATTGATTACAACTCTGCATTTAACACAGTAGTTCTTTCCAGACTAGTTAGGAAGCTTAATGACCTGGGCATCAACACCTCTCTCTGCAGCTGGATTCTGGATTTCCTGACTGGCCGACCACAGACTGTTAGGGATAATGGAGAACTTCCTTCCACGCTGACCATCAATATAGGTGACCCTCGGGACTGTGTGCTTAGTTTTCCTTGTTTACCCACAACTGTGTGGCCAGACAGCTCCAAGTCCATCTACAAATATACTGATGACACCACCATCATTGGCCGAATCACTGGTAATGATGAGACAGACCACAGGGATGAGGTCGGGAACCTGGTGGAGTGGCGCACTGACAATAATCTCTCCCTCAACGTCAGCAAAACCAAACTGCTGGTCATCGATTTCAGAGAGCAGGGTGGGACCACACCCCTATTCACAGCAATGGTGGCTGCTGAGATGGTCAGCAGCTTCAAGTTCCTGGGTACCTTCATCGCTAATGATTTAACATGGTCCCAGCATGTACCTGGAGCTACACAGAAGGCACAACAGCGCCTTTACTCCCTCAGACAGCTGAAAAACTCTGGTCTACAACTGTCCTGACCACATTCTACAGGTGCGCTATTAAAAGTGTGCTCATACAGCATGTGGGGCTACAGTGTGGTTGGGCAGCAGCCCGCTGTCTGTCCCTCTCCTGTGGACAGTTTACAACCCGCTGCCTCAGGGAGGCTGGGAGCATCGCTGAGCACACCAGTCGTCCTGGATTCCCCCTGTTCTCCCCCTCCCTCTGGTCAGCGCCATAGGAGCAGAAAGGCCAGAACCTCCAGAGTCAGAGTTTCTTCCTGCATCACTGTCAGATTAGTGAACTCTACCCCTGCCACTGACTAAACTCATCTACATTACACCTATAGTATAGTACTACTCACACTGATGTTTTTTTCTCTTTTCACACTGCTTGTCTGATGTGTTTTTTAAAGTTGTTATTTAACTTCTTGTTGTTGCTGCTGCTGTTCTGTGTTCATGTTTGGGTCTTTTCTTAATGTCTTTGTATCGTAGCATACAAGCAAAGAAGCATTTCACTGCACTTGTGGCTATGACAAATAAACTGAACTGAACTGGACCAGTGGTCTCCCCTCCATCACCATTGTGTAGCCCCCAGCTGGATGATGCCTTTTCCCTCTTACCTATATCCCTGCCTCTGACCCCAGCTCTGAAAGCGGTCACACACCTATACGGAGGAAAAAATGCAGGCTGCAGTTGATTGTCTTAAATCTAAAAAGCTAACAAGTCAACAAAGGAAAGCATATCCGTCCATGCCTCCACGTAAACATACTGCCAATGTTGCTACCACGTAAGACACAACAAGAAAAATGTCTCTTCTATGTTTGTGCAACTGTGTGTGACATGACAACGCATTCTCTACATAGACCAAGTCGGGCCAGCCCGTCCTGCCGAGCGGCGCTTCCGGGAGCTCCGGGCCGCCATGTGACCGCGTCACGCGAGCGGAGAAAGCGCGTGCGATCTCGCGACGCGCGAGCTCCAGTCCAGCAGCGACAGAGGCAAGATGGCGGCGCAGGAGAGCCAGTCCACTCAGCAAGCCGCCCTCAGCAACGGCGAGGTAAAAAAACTGCCCTCAGAAAATACCCCCGTAGAAAAATCGCGAACAGTTGATCATGGAAACAGTCGGGCCAAAGCTTAAGGACGCTGTCTTTCCCTGCTTTGGAAGTATTCTCAGAGCTTATCTCGAGCAGACCTCTCTTTAGATGATGCGGTCTGGGGGAAATGAATATAAATGATAACTACATGAATTAATGATCTGTATAGTTTGATGTGCATTGTGGACGTGCTTTGCTTAGTTCCTTTAATTAAATCAACCGAGCATTAACAGTCGTGTTTTAAGCGTCAGCTCACCAGCTGTCTATAGGGAACAGAAACACTCGCTGTGGGTAGTCATTGAAAGATTAAGAAACAAATGTACGACAGTGTTGCTTATAAATGGCGTTTTTCATCGTGACTGGGTCGGATGAGAGGCGATGACAAATAGTCGCCCTATTTTTTGTCTCAGCCGGCCTGACGGGTTAATTTTCACGAGCAGCAGGCTGGCTCGCGTTCGTTCTGACGCTGACATATTGACAGATCCACGCAAGCCCCCGACACGCAAAGGTTCAGATGGATCTCGCCCTTTGGCGTCCGTGTCGGGTCAGTGGAGCTGCGCTCCGGCCTGGCGGGGCTCCTGGCGGGGCTGCCGAGCCGGGCAGGGGGTGTCTGCGCAGCCGGGCTGCCCCCTGCTCGCACTGACTAATGGAAACGTGGCGCGTTGGACATCGTCTGAGCGTGGAAAGGTACACGCGAACAGTCTGACCGCTAGAAACCTGCTTCTGTGACCGGCTTGGGGGCCCGAGATGGAAGGGCTTTAACGTGTTGTCGCACGGTGTGGCCGGCGAGAGGCCGGGCTGTGGTGTGGAGGACCGGGGGGAGGTGAGGGGTGCTGTTGACACACCGAGAGCGCATCGCTACTCCAGCGACCGGCAGCGGAATGACAGTGTCGGAAACACTGCGCGTCAGCCTGGCTGGTGTGGCCCGAGACAGCACGAGGTGTCTGGAGAGACGCTGCACGTCGTTCTGAAGCGCCCAGTACAGACCACACTGAGCACTGTGTCCACCGACAGCCCGACTGTGACCACTGCCGCTGCTTCAGCTCCTACTGGCTGCCCTGTACGATTGCCGGTGCCGCTCGCCTTTCCTGTCCTGAGAATAGCATTGCTCTGCCCCCTAAGCTTTCAGCATGATCCACAATACTCCATCTGACAACATGCAGAACTGCTCTAATTAATTAAAATGTATGTGAGTGGACATTGCAGTGATTAAATTGCTCTGATTTGCTGCTGCCTTTGTGAGTCCTAGTTTAGGGTGCCATATAGGTTACCTCAATCATGAATAGACCTGAAGTCATCGTGCCTTTTAAATATGTCTCAGCCCAGTAGAGGGTGATGGGACATTGCTAAATTCAGTCACTGCCCCCAGCCCAGGGATGTACATGATCGGTCTTCTTTTTGGTCTGCTAGTTTTCCAGTGTGCATACTGTGCCACTGCTGTGCTTCAGATGCAAACTTCAGCTCACTCCAGGCCTCTCTCACTGGACACCCCAGATTGTGGTCACTCCAGGCCTCTCTCACTGGAC